AGTTTTCTGATGTGAATGTGTCGATATTGCAGATAAAATAGGTTCAAGAGGTACCTCTTCAAGGGGAGGCGACGGTGGTTGCTGAATTTCAGCAGTTGAAGAAGTTATTTCAGGCTCATCATTTATGAACGGTATGTCTGTTGTTGATGCAGATAAATAATCTGAATCGGTGAAATTATTTTGGTTAAATGGCCATATCCCACATTATTCCAGTGCATTAATTGCCGTTATTGCATTATTGCAGATTGAATATGAGCATTTGCAAAAATTTCGCTTATTTGAAAAGTTTTTATCATTCGCCTTGATCATAATGTTTTGGAGCCTGTGGGTGCAATGGGGGAGAAAAGCAAAGCATAACAACACCATTCTTACGTGCATTTTCAATAACCTCTATATTTTGCATATGCGTTACGTGCCCATCTAGAAGTATAAGACCGGGTTAGTTATTGAGGCCTTATAAAATTTGACCAACCATCGGAACGAGCTCATGAAGGTTTCACTTGACATCCAGCCTGGAGCGTTGCATTCTTCCGTCTTCTCTGGAGGAGCTCGATCCAATAACTCCTGCTCCATTCTCTGTCAAGTAAATATTACTATTAGCATAGGAGGCATATAAGTTCCAGCTGCATTGAAACATATCCCGACGGTAATCGTCTGCCTTCGTTCTGCAGAAGAAAGGGAGCCTACTTGTTTTCTTTTCAGCAATGATTTTGCTCTTTGTTTTGGAGACGCATGACAGTCTAGTCTCGTCGTAGTTATATATTCTGGCGTTAAATTATATTTGTCATAAACTTTCCCAAGCAAAGAATATAATTTATTCACGGCCACTTTGTTAAGCCTTAGAACCAATCAACGTTAGCAATGTTTTCAACATGGTTGAAATTGTGAGTCTTAGAATTTTTTTCTGCGAGCTGATAGGCTAGTTTTCGTAGGACGATAATTGTCAATACTAGTGTCCGACCGAAAGTTCGGTTTTGGTCGAGTTTCGGTAAAAAAGCGGGTTTCAATTTAGTTTCGGTTTCGGCGCCAAACCTGCCGAAACTACGACCGAAACCGAAACTTCATTAGGGAGTTCCCGCGCTGTGATCGGTCTTGTTCGGCGTGTTGAATTTCAAACGACAAGCGACGAAGACATTTTGCCGCTTCCACGTGTCTAATCATGTCGTGACTATTGTGATATTAGGTAACAACTCAAATAAGTAATTTTATGAAAAAGAAAGTTTTTGGCTTTCTACTATTCCATCTTGATCTTTGGAAGATTCTCACATTTTTTTGTATCAAGATGGATTAGTAGAAAGCCAAAAACTTTCTTTCCCAAAAATTAATCACTCCTAAAAATATAACCCTTTCAAATAAAATTAGATGTTTGTTAATGGTTGGTTGGTTGGTAAGTGATAAACTTCTACATCGCTTAACCGATCGTGATGAAACTTGATATGTATAAGTAATTTTTCATAGAGAAGGTTTTTAGGCTATCAAT